TTAATGACCCCTTCCTGGAAATGAGTGTGTGTGTGGGGGAGAGAGTGTGTGTGGCGTGAGTAAGCGAGTGAGCGAGCAAGAGAACAAGGGCTGATGTCAGTGGTCTGTCACCCCTTATGTGGTTATCCCCTGTGGGTCTGCCACTCCATCACTTCCTCCTATCTGTTTACCTCATAGCAGCCATATTAACAAGACTTTCCCCACATATGGGATGATGCACCTACAGTAAACAGTAGAAAAAGATTAGGTTAGCATCTGTTCACATGCCTTTGCACAAACATTACATCCAGAGGTCAAAGGTCAGCTTATGTGCAGCCGTTATGATCATGATCATGATCGCTATACACACTAATAATCATGACTAGGGTGCAAAATTAATTTATTTCCAATTGAGAATTTTTTTTGGCTGACATTGAAACTTATCTTGCATTATTTTTAGTTTTTAATTATACAAAAATATTTTGCTTCTTTTTTTCAACTTATTGTGTTGCAGCTGTCAACTGCACCTGTCTCAAAAGTGATTTTCTTGACACATTTGTTGTTTTGGGTGATTAATGCAGGGAATATTCCACATGGAATAGAGAGAGGAAAAAAAACTCCTTCTGTCCTAAATAAATTTTCCACCAATGCAAAGGCTTTTGAGTTCTTTTTTTAGTAGACGGCTTTATGCATTTCTTTTGAATCACACACTTACATCAGCAAGGTCCTATTAACATTCAGTCAGTCAATTAAAACCATGTAATGCTGCAGTTTCTGATAAATTTACCAACTAACTGCAGAGTAATTTCTTTTATTTAGTTTTGTTTAATTTTATATCTTGATAATGATGTAATGATTTGTAACCTGCTGAGCTGCACTGTAATATAAATATGTTCATTTTAAAAGCCAAAATGAGAGTTTTTGTCTTCTAAATATAACTAAACACTTTCCCAGTCTTAAAACTGCTCTATATATATGCTTAATCATCGAGTAGGTAGAGGAGACAGCCTCTGCCCCAGTCAGATATAAAAATGGTTTTCATTGCTGACTCACATACAGGTGTGTGTATATATCACCCCAGACAGTCTGTATTTTAACTCGACTATGAACCATAATCAAGCGGCTTGCTGTCTCATTTGGAGTCAGATATATTAAGAATTTATGGCTGTATAAATTATGTAAACATTTAAAGGTCATCTCTTATTTATGGATACAAACAGCAGTGCTGACAGAGGAACAAACAGCTTAAATACCTAACAGAAACATTTCTGTTCGCATCGGTGATCGAAGCGATTTTACTCTAATTATCAGTTTCTGACGCGAGCATCAGTTGCTCCAAAGTCAGTCGGGAGAAAAACGCTCTTTGCTCTTTTAAAACAGGCTAATAAGGCAAACTGAGGAAACTATTGTCTCTTTTGCACTGATTAGCTCTTTGCCTAGCGATTTTATGCAAGACTAAGTGAGAGGATCACAATTCAATTATTCCAGAAAGCAAAACCTTAAGGCCACCAAATTGCGTAAAGACACTATTTGAGTCTCTTGGAGAGAAATTTGTGTCATTGGAAATTAAACGCTTTTGTGGCGCTGGAAGGTTAGTGTTGTTAATGGTATTAGGGAATGTGGTGTTCGGAGATGATTAAAATCTGTGTTGAAGAGAGAAAGAGAGAGGGGTGAGAAAGAAAAGAGAAGGGGGAAAAAAATCAATAGCTGCAAGCACAGCTCCCACTCTAGATGGACATCTCCTCTGTCTTTATGCACCCTAATAGAAAAATAACAATTAAATCCAAATCTCCACATTAATTTGGTTTCCATCAGTCTCGGGGGAGATCGTCTTTACCAGTTATTATTCGCTAGGTTATTATATCTTCTAATCAAGCCTCTTAAGAAAAAAAAACAGCCCAATGGAAGAGACAGGCTGTGTTCCCTCCACTTCCCCCTCCCCCAGCAGGCTTGCATTGCACTCATTGTACTTGTGCTTATTATGTTTCAAATGACCGAGGTACGGCTGACATTCTGGCTGCATGCAGAGAGGCCCAGCCTCCGTTAATGACGCAGCTCATAGTCCTAAGAGCCTGAGCTCCTCACCCACCCACGCCCCAACCCCCAACACACACACACACACACACACACACACAGGCTCTAATGAAGAACCACCAACACAATTACAAACCCCAGTGTGCCTCTGCTGGAAGAGGGGAGGAGGTTATACACATAGTCACTCAGAGGGAGGAATATTGCCATCATGTGTGCACACACACACATATATACACACAATTATGGCTTTCTTACTGTGGCCAGGGTGGTCTTATGATCACAGATAAACATAGGCACATGGACCGTATGCACACATGTTAAGATGCACGTCTTGCACACGATCGTCTCATCTTATCCTCCCACTCTCCAGAGCGCTGATCCCTGGAGGTCTGCCTGCCTCTCCGTGTCCCTCCATAAGCATCCCTTTTCACCCAGCTTCAACTCTACAGGTGAGGAGGGGGGTCAGAGAGGATCAATGAACGCATGCATAAATTGGTAAATGAATGTGTGTGTCCTCTATACGCTCTGATGCTTCCAAAAAGAGCAGTGACTGGTTCTCCTTTGAACAATTTCAAATTTAGTTTCATTACACGCACATTAAAATGACAGAAGTGGTATTTAGCAATAAAGTCACAAATGGTTTAATTACAATGGGAATTAGCTCATCGGTTGTATTACATGACTATAACACTAGTACTTACAGTAAATGTGCTTGACAGTTTGCAACAGGAGTTGTTACGTGCATAAACATGTTAGTTATCCGCTGTTTTTCTTTTTAGCATGAACATGTTTATAGCACTCATTATCAGGGTTATTATAGTTAACCTAAACTAAAACTGAAACTAAAATTAAAACCATTAAAAAATTGTTAATTGAAATAAATGTTAACTGAAGTAAAATAAAATAAACTTTTATTTCATCTAGTTGCCAAAGCAACATTTCTATTTTAAGATTCTATATTAACATTTTATTTTAGTTTAACATGATGTACAAAAATAACTAATACTGAAATAAAAATGAATAAAAACTAAACACACATTTAGACACATATAAAAAAAAACTACTAAAAATAACCTCAAATAAAATGAAATCAAAATATTTTGATAATAGCAAAATATTAATCATAAAAACTATAATAGTTTCTCAATGATACTAAAATAACACTGCTCATTATTAGTGATACATACAAAAAGGAGAAACCAAAAACTGGCCAAAATAAACGAATAAAAATAAATAAATTAAAAAATTAAAAATTAAACATTAAAATACCTTAATATTATAATATATAAAATAAAATAAAACAATTATACATCATATATACACACACACAAAATTTAATTTAAATATTTAAATGAAAATTAAGTGTGCACATACACACATTATATATAAGCATATTGTCTCAGTGAGGAAAAACAGCTTTCCGCTTATCACACAAAGTAAAACCTCAATGCATGCAAATCTCACATAACCTGAAGAGTGAAGCTAAACTCCAAACAGTTGCCCCTCTTTTCTCCCTCATGCTGCCCCCCTCTCCCACTAAGGAGTGGCAGCGTGTCCCTCCTCGCCCCCTTTTGTTGTTTTCTCGCTCAATGAAATAATCTCCCACCCCCTTCATCCCTCACCCCATGCCACCCCCCTGGCCCAGTCTAGGTCAGAGGGCCCCCTCAACCTGTTGCTGATTGTGAGTGCAGCGGCAGGGTGAAAAAGCACACAATTAGGCACAGATGGCTGTCTTGCCTCGTGGTGCCCAGCTCGGCTCCCGCTGCAAAGGGCCATTCTGCCGCCTCTCGGGTCAGATTAGCCGGGTTAATCCATAATCCCTGAATTTAGCTATTGAAGTAACTGGAGACAAATGCAATCAAGTTTGATCATGCATCGCTGTCTAGCGGTTTATCTGACAGCTTTTGAATGACAAGTAACCAATCTTAGAATTAAATTTCCATTTCACTGGATGCCAGATTATCAGATTTCCACTGCTATTGTACAGCATAATGCCTTCACATTCATTTGCAAGCACAATCTCATTAACATGTGATGCCTTGTAACTTTTATACAATACATGGTAATTTTGATAATTGATCATATAACTTGATTAAAAATTATATATATATATATTTTCCCCCATGCAATTTTTAAATAATGCTCAGACATGATGCAAATATGGATTAATAATATCAATAACGAGTAAGAACTGACTGGATTTCTGAAATCGTCTTCAAAAAAAATAAAAATAAAAATAAATAAATAAATGAAATGACATAAAACACAACCTAAAGCGTTAACAACAGCCTTACACGCTTTTTCGGCTCTTCGTCATTGACAGATGTTTTGTAAATAGTGAGCGATGCTAAAAATACAGCGTGCAATGTGCATGATTCGGGCACTTCCACACTTTTGCCTTTTCACAGCGAATAAAAGTTTTATCGTTTAAGTATTGTCCGCTGACGTCACTTTGATTCCTTGAAGTGAGGCAGAATAAACCTTGAAAGGACTCTCCTTCAATCTGCCGTTCGTAACTAACACACACACACACACGCAGTCACTCACTCACACCCCGAGACTCAATTACTGCCCAATTCCCTTCTTCATCATCTCCTGCTACACTGGCCTCTTCCAAAAGCAAATCGAAAAAGGAAAACAAAGAGCAACGTTACCTGAAGTGATACTTCGAACCCGATCGAGGCGGAATTACACGAAGTGTCAAAACTAAGGGTAAGTTTTGAATTTATTGGGAGCTGGATCAGTTATTTCATTGGAGAATCAATGTTGTGTCGCTGGCTGGCTTGATTTCTTAGCGAGGGCAGCTAACTCGATAGTTTCTTTAGGTTGGCTACGCGTGTGCCTCGAGCGCAAAAAGCGCAAAACTTGTCAAAACCATTTCAACGGCGTTGTCGGGAAAAGCCAATCTAGAGAAATATTCCGTTGAGATGGCGAATATTGCAAAACTTTACGAGTGGACAATGTTGCGCGCGGGGGTTGTGACTTCATAATAGGAACCTGCCTTTGTGCCCTCTCGCGTGCGCTTTAACTGCTAGGTTTTTTAAATGTAAACTATTGGTAAACACTCCTCAATGTATCCAAACATGTTTCAAAAGAGCAAGCGCTTCCCAGTCGTTCATTTTGGTACGTAAAAATGTAATATTTGATAAGGGCGATGCGGGAGAGTCACTTGGAGGAGCTGACGCTACCTTTGGTCTGTTTAATGTCCGTCTCTCAGATGATGGCAAAAGCTAATAGCTCTTCATTGAGACAACATGATAAAAGCATTTACTTTTCAATATCTTTTGATAAATACTGTTAAAAGCACACGGTTTGGTACTTTCGACGGGGAAATCGCCTGCTCAGTCGGAGCGGGTCGCTGGCGTTGAGTTGGAGCTTCGCGTTGCTCTTATCTTTGCTGCTTCCTTAAAGAGCAGCAGCTGCCGCCTGGCCGAGTTGTTGAAATTTATCCCTTTGTGTATATTACAATATCCTCCATTTTTTCTGCCCTCTAAACAACAAGCCTCACGCCATCTTGGTTAATTTGAACTGGCGGATCTGTGTGTTCTTAGGACTCGACCTGCACATGTCGTTACAGGCAGAAAGTTTAGAAATGTCTTATGTGGTGGCGGTGACGTCATGTGAAGTTTAAGTAAAATGTGATGTTTTGCCAAGAAAGCGTCGAATTTGTTATCTAGCTTGACATTGCTGTAAAACTCTGTTTTCGGTTGTTTTGGTGTCGGAATGACTCCAGTTGGATAAAAACAAACATTTTGATGTGATCTGGAGAATCTTACGCGATGTTTAATGATTCGGTGTTTACAGGTGGAATTAATGACATCAGCACACTAATGATGTCATTTAGTGAGGTGAACTGTTTATTTTCTTGTCTTTGTTTAAAATTGAGATTTTTTTTTTTGTAGTTTAAAAAATTCATAATTCCCATGAAGGATTACTTAAGAATGTGCTGTAATGATGAATCAGTGACCTAAGGTTTCGCATCCATTTCAGATTCAGATAGTTTTTTTCCTCGAATGACCAGAATCGTATTTTGATCCTTTCAGAATTAGGCAATCAGACATATTTGAGTTTGTCATATGAATTTATGGCTCACGAGGTTAATAATTATGGTCTCACTGTACAGTCATTTCCTCATTTAGAAGACGTCGGATGTTCTAGTTAGCTTATGATGTGCCTATGTAGGCTACTTTTGTATACAGCCTGTGTGTTTTATTTTAAATTAAATTCAATTTTTGCGTTTAGCAGACGCTTTTATCCAAAGCGACTTACAGTGCATTCAGGCTATACATTTTTTATCAGTATGTGTGTTCCTTGGGAATTTAACCCACGACCTTTGCGCTGCTAACGCAATGCTCTACCACTGAGCCACAGGAACACTATTTGTGCTTGTACACACACAGATAGAGTTTTACTTTACAGTTGACCTCCTAATGTGTAAGAAGTAAGTAAAGATGGTAGTAAGTAAAGTAGTGGTTTGTGAATGAACAGTCCTTCACAAAAAAGACCTTCAAAAAAGCAAGTGTTACATACTTGAAAGTTTCTGTTATGCAAGTCATGAACTTTTTACAATTAGTGGTCAGCGATGCAAAACCCGCAGGTTCGCCATAGGCTGGTTAAATGGCTGGACTGTCTGTTTTGTATCAGTAGGGCTCTGTCTCATCATGTAGCCCAGTGCCCTAGTCATTATGCATGGAGGAGGCTGCTGTTTTTACAGAATGCCTCAGATGGAGAAGTCAGTGTTTCCACCTCCCATCTCTTTGTCTGAGCATGTGCTTCTGCTAAAGCCATGAGAGCAGGGGAGCAGATGTTTAGCCAAACATCCTGACGAGATGCTTTTCTCTTGTGGGAATGCCGCCTCTTCCTCCCTGTTCCCGATGCATCGCCTTGACAGCTGCTTGATTTCATGGAACCGCTAAGAAGCCATTAGCGGTATCAGTGAATTGAAACGGAACAGTCTCACCCACTCTCTTCTTCCATTAGAAATGGCTATTGTTGGATGTTTTTTCTTCTTCTTTCTTTGTGGGAGTGTGAGTGTTTGTGCTTATTCGGAGCACATAGAATTCTCTTATATACTTGTGCTGTTTTTCTTACCACGAATTAGGGAGAGCAAATCTGTCAGGGCCTGTTTGTGCTGTTGGGGTTTGAAGGGATCTCACACTGTGCTCTCTCAAGCACACCCAGACCACTGGATGTCTGTAGCTGCGAAGAGAGAGAGAGAGAGAGAGAGAAAGAACTTTGCTTTGGGTTAGAGTGTCAGCCACACGTTTCTGTCCAGGATGTTTGTTGTTTTCCAGACAGGATATGGGTTAGGCTTGTGAGAAGATGTTTGTATCTAGGAATTAGTTTAATTTGGGATCTTTAGAAGGATCTTGCTTAAGCTCTGTTTGCATGTCTTTGTTGCGCGTACAACAACAAATGATTGTGGTGTAATGAGCTGATTCTGAGAAATGTGGGTTGTAAGAAATGGGTCTCGAGTGCGGAAGCTGTCGAATCAAAGTTTAGCGCAGACAATCCCAAATGCACATGGGTTTGGGTTTATAATCACACTTCTTCCGAAACGTGCACTGATCAGTGCGGTTCATTTAAAGATGATTTAAATTTATTGGATGTTCCACTCATGCTGTTACATAATATGAATGACTAGAGAGCAGTTAACACGCACAGCCCTGCCTGAGTCTCATAGTCTAAATGGCTCTATGGGCTTTCATTCTACATCTTATTGGATTAGACGATATTATAGTCAACTGCAGTGTATAACATTGTGCTTTCACTTTAACAACTTACTTGACACCCTTTCCAGAAGATTACTTATTCCGTAGTTATGTTTAGTAAATGAACCTTTTTCCCCCCTCTATTTTTAGCATTTTAAAACCCAATTCAGATTATTTAAAACCTTTGCTATGATTTAAATAATAATATATATTTAGATAAATAAAATAAGAAAATGTATATATATTATACATATATATTAGAGATGCACCGATACTGAATTTCTCTGCCGATACGATAGCCGATTATTCAGAATGATATCTGCCGATACCGATCGTTTCATTTTCTTAAGGAAAAAGATCTCTCCTAACCGATGTGATTAACTACGCATGGAAACCTATCATTTGGCACATTACTATAATATTAAATGTTATAATTAATAACAGAGCTATTATATTCAACTGCTATTTATTTTCCGATATGATAATTACACTCAAATAAAAATTTTAATATCTGTTTACAACTCATTTGCACATAGTCTTCATAAATACCTGTCTTCATGCCAGATATATTCAAACATACATATATAATTATAAATAAAAAAGCTCCTCTTTAGTGTTGTTTTATAGCTAACTAATGAACTGTGAACAGTGGATAACTTTGCTGAGGTAAATTCCATGTTAAGTGGCATACTGTTCACAATCTGTTTTATTGGCATCTTTCCACGGTTGAAACACTGATTGAGCGATTACATAAGACATTTTGGTAAGCTATACTGTATCTTTCAACATACCTTCTGATGTTCATTCATGTTTATTTTGAGCTATAACTTATTAAAGTGGAAGAGACTCGCGCTCCGCACTGCTGCATGAACTGAGGTGCTGCAGGGATCTGTCACGTCACATTTAAAACCATCAAAATGGCATTCATTGTTTGAATTTTCGTGATAGAATGTACAGGGTTTGAAAGCTGAGACTTTGTTGCTTATTAGAAGTAAGAAAGCACAAAGCTCTTTGTGATTATTGGATGGGAGGCGCGCTACAAATAATGTTTGGTGTAGAGAAAAACTGCAGATCTGGCAACCCTGGCTTGAACCACAGGTCAAATAAAGTCAGCTTTAATGTCACTATTTTTAACTATTAATGTTGTCACGTTAATTTTGGCAGCCTTAAATTCAACAGAGAGATTGTCTTCACACACAGTATGAGTTGCAGTATGACATGTTTTTCTGCTGTCTGTTGATTGACAGGATATAATCGGACCTGATCATTGGCTGATTTTAAACAATCGGCCTATGGCCGATAGTGAAATAAATTGCTTTTATCGGCCGATATGGATTATTGGCCAATACATCGGTGTATAGCCACAGCAAGGTGGACAGTTGTATAAATCAAAATAAGACGAAAGAAAAATGTAGTTCTTCGCTCAGCGTCATTTTGGATAGAGTGAGAACCCATTGATTTTGGTTTTTAAACATGCATCAATCATTGCACCGTTAATGGCGAAATTGATTTAAATGAACTTCAGAAAGCTCAGCCTAGAGTTTCTGGATTTGTCATTTGATTTAACCATCCTATAAAAGTCCAAGGCAGTGAGAAGTTCTCACTTGATCATAACACCTGTCATTTAAAGAACTCGAACCCAAGCGCGGGCTTGATTATACAAGCTGTGGTGTTCCACGTGTGTGGCCAGTAACTGCCAAATGAATCAGCCCCGAATACTCGATGCTGGAAGGTCAGCGGTGAATTTGTTTTCTGAGCAGGTTGTGTCCTTGTACTCATAACAACTTGGCAAATCACCTTGTAAATACTGACAGATACTCTTCCCTGTGCTGCTTTGTGAGACGACAGTTGACGTTAAACAGTATCATGGATAAGTGCATCTCTATCTTGACTTACTTGGCTAATGATTTATTTTGTCGTTAGCAAACAGCTTTGTAGAATTTCCTCTCAACAGTTGGCTCTTACATAATAGCGGGTTATGTGGGTTGCTGTTTAGCGTGAACATTAGCGCTCGGGAGACAACTGTTTGTGTCAGCAGAAGCGCAAGTCGGTCACGGCAGACTTGATAATTGTGTCGCAAACATGATCTTCTTTACCTTTAGCCTGCCGTTCCATGGTAACGAGGCAGAGGAGCTGGAGATTCGCGTTTCTACGGACAGTTAAATGAATGGGCTTTTCTACCAGCAGCTGAAGCGGGTCACACCAAACTGACTCTGTTTTCAGATAAACACAGAGAGGACACGGGGGCCTTTTTGGTTCAGTGTCCCTCGGGCCTCTGTTTATCATTCAATGTGAGAATATCCCTGATGAAACTCAAGGTTATTTTTGTTGGGCTGTCTGAACGCTTGTTTTTCACAGACAAGGTGAAAGGGTTGATTTTTCCCTCAAGAAAGGCTTCGTATTAAGACTTGA